TAATTTAAAGCGGAGACACGGAAACCTCGAGCGGGTGACCAATTTATATACAAAACAAACGGTTCAGAGAAATCCTACTTAAATATAAATGTATTGGCTTTGCATGTTCATGTCAAAGCCGCCTGTTAAAATAAGGTGTGAGTTAAGTTATAAAACCTCCTCTCAGCGATGTATTTAATGAGAATTATTGCATGTAATGTGGTCGGTCTAATTCTACGCAAAACGTTGAGTTCACGTTTTAACAACTTTCTCCAAATTTCAGTTTAGTTTTCATAACAAAACGAAAAAAATTCTACGAAAATAAACTGGTTGTTACCAAAGCTTAGTGTTAAGAACTAGAATATCATTTGCGTACTAATTCAGAATTAATGTTTCATTTTGTGCAAATGAAAGATTAATTTGCAGAGTATTTTTGCAAATGACAGTTTAATATTTCAGAAAAAAAATACCATACTTCTTTTCTCCAATCTTGCTTATTTTCGAACAACAGAATTGGCCATTAAACAGACCTGAAAACTGTGATTACTTATTATGAGGCAGCAGTCATTTCAAGTTTCGCTTCTTCACGAGCCTTCCTTCAGGCTGTCAAGAATGTTAACAAAATAATCTTGCTTGCTTCCCGTTTAGTCTAACTATCATATTTCCCGGCACAATATACAGATTTTTTTCGCCTCCGAAAATTTTATCAAAAATCTGAATTGATGTTTGCTCAGAAGAAAACTTTTGATCTCGAACCTTTGTTTTCATAAAGAAAGAACTCTCACGTTTTAAGTTATCTTATTCGTACATCACAGTTTTTTCCCTGAAGCCACACACCTCTTCAGAACTTTATGAACATATAACTTCAGAGGCAAAAACTTCGAAAAAAATTTTAGCTTTAGTTTTGCATTTTTTTGTGTGTGTGAAACTAGAAACAAAATTGGAAAAACAGAGAGAATGTGCAAATTGATTTTTAGTTTAAGTCTTCTTTGACCGAGGATAAGTCATGAAGTTTTTAATTTTGTTTTGATAGAGTCTAGTACGACAGTTGTTAAACACATTTGGATCTGCTTGTGCCAATCTTTTAAAAAACTTTATACATTATTAATAAATTTTTAAGTTCTTAACCAAAATTCCATCATTGAAGTTTTTCCGACCTTAGCTTGACTGCCAAAGAAAAACGGACGCAACTGCTGACAAACATACAGTGCAACTGAATCAAGCAGCTATACAATCGAAAAGACCAAATACTTGTTATCTGAAATTAAAATTGGATCTTTTTCGGAACGAAATCATGTTGGCCGGGCTAATAACTGGAATTTGAGACACGGAAAGGTTGAGAAGCTGACGAGTTAATGCACAAAGGAAAACACTTCAGAAAAATCCTGCCTAAACGTAAATGTTTTGGTCTTAAATCCGGAATTATTTTCAGCTTAAGTCTTCTTTTATTGAGGATAAGTCACGAGGTTTCTAATTTTGTTTTGAGAAAGTGAGTCTAGTACGAGTTGTTAAACAAATTTGCATGTTCATGTCAGAACCACCTGTTTAAATTAGGTGTAAGTTAAGTTATAAAACTTCCTCTCAGCGGGGTATTCAATGTGCCTTATTGCATGTAATGTGTTCGGGCTAATTCCTTTGAGTTTATTTTAAGAAACTGTTTAGGAAATTCTATGTAAATATTTAGTTGTTACTTCAACTTTGTTTTAAGAAAGCATGATTCGCGCACTAATTCATTCACTTTTCATTGTTCTCAAATTCTAGAGCAATTTGCAGAGTGCTTTTTGAAAAGAAAGCTATCTCAAAAAAAAAATCCACGTATACATGTATTTTATTTCTCCGATCGCGGTTTTTCTTAAACAAGAGAATCGCCATTAAACAGCTGACCTGCAAATTTGTGCTTATTAAGAAACAGCAATCATTTTAAGTTTGGCTTCTTAACGAATTTTTTTCAGGTTGACAAA